ATGTATGTGCGAGCCCTTGGTTAAAAACAATAGCCATAAAAACTATCATTTCGCCACTGCTCAACAGATAATATTAGTGTACAGGGTCTCGCACAGAAGGGCACTTAGCAATGTTCTCTAAAATACATAATGAATTAAACTTTTGTAACAACAACGATATATTTTGCTTTATATAAATTTTATCATTGGGATCACCAGATTTTTCAACTATTTTTGTAGCAATGTTATCAAAAAAATAATTGTGTCTGTTTATCCACTGGGCCAAATGTCTTCACACAGATCGGAACAAAAACTCTCGTATTGTCGTTTAAATCTTTATACTTAGTATTTTTGAAATCAGCAGCCTTCACCGCGGCGGAACCATACTCCATAGCCGTGTAATTGATGTACCTTTCGGCTAACGTGTGAGGGAACGTCACATCCCATGATAAACAACAGCCTTGGGACCACGGTACCAGGGTGTAACCATCTGGCCTGAAGTTGCTTTCAGATAGTAGGCCTGCTGGTTCCTTAACGGCGGGTATATCTGCTTTCTGGAATAATTTGTATATATAATCATTCATGGCAGAGTGTCTTGCTTGTCTTCCTGAACCAATGATGGATGTTATGGATGTATGTATGTATGAATGTATGGATGAATGTATGTATATATGTATGTATGTATGTATGTGTGTATGTATGTGTGTGTGTATGTATGTTAAAACCAAAACATGATGAGTGACACTGAACCGTCAAACATCAAGTAACAAATGGATCAACACTTTGATTTGTCGTTAATTGCACATGTCGGCATTCAGTTGGATATTTTCAAGCACACAGACACGCAGGAACCGCTGCAACAAGCACGAAATGTGGTTAGTTGCGAAAAACAGTTCCCTGCTGTCGCCTGATCTGAACGCTGATCATTTTACATATTGCCTCAAGAAATTTAAGGGTGTTGGGGTCCATCGGTACAACCTCGATACATATTGGCGAGAATTCCATCGAGGGGAGGGCGTTCGCATATTTTTTCATTTTCTCGTCCGCTGCCCTGGCCGCGGCCAAACCCCGCATTTTTATGTATGTATGTATGTATGTATGTATGTATGTATGTATGTATGTATGTATGTATGTATGTATGTATGTATGTGTGTATGTATGCATGCATGTATGTATGTATGCATGTATGTATGTATGTATGAATGTATGTATGTATGTGTGTGTGTATGTATGTATGTGCGTGTAATTTAGATTAGAAGAGCAGACATTTTTATGACTTGCATGTTAGGGTATCCTTATCATTGCAACCCAACACATCTTAGAAAAAAAGACACTTAAATCCGTCTTTAGGGAAAATAACTTTGAAATTTTGAAGTGCCACAGCTCTGAGATCTAGGCCAGGACACTTGAAGTAACATCATCATCATTGATGGATGGATGATTTCTTCAAACTGGGTCATACGTTACATTGTACATTCCATTTCTTCAAAAACGTACACAGCACACTCACACGCACGCACGCACACACGCGCACACACACATGTACACCAGCACACACACACACGCACACACGCGCACACACATACACATACACACCAGCACATACACACACACACACACACAAATATATAAATAGAATGCGGGTTAGAGCAAAATCGCTTTGCTACAAAACGCCCAACATATTATTTCGGACGTCTTAACCCCTCCACCAAATGTAAAAGATCTATATCATCTTCTTGGACAAGAATTTTACAAACTTAAAAAAAAAATTTAATCTACGTGAAGCGCTTTTGTGTATGATTGACAGGCGATAAGGCTGCTGAAAACAAACACGTACACAGACACTTACACACACAAACACATACATATAAACACAAAATTACGAATGCATGCATGCACACATACATACATGCATGCATACACACTTACATACCTGCTTACACATACAAACAAACACATTCACACAATCCAATATAGTAAACACTTTTATGAAAACACCACCACACACACAAACACACATATATGCACACACACACAAACAAACACACACAAACAAACACACACACACAAACAAACAAACACACACACACACATACATACACAGCTTGACTCATGGGCATTTTATTGAAACGACCTGCATTCAATTTTAAATAGTTGCACACTGAAACGTGCACCTGCATCCGTCTGTCGAGGTGTGTACACACTCAGTAAATGTTTGTTTGTACACAAAAGATGCACAAACAAACATACACACACACGTTTGTATATATTATTATGTATGCCGTGCCAAACAAACATACACACACACGTTTGTATATAATATTATGTATGCGAGCCAAATATTTAAAACTAAATTGGCAACTATTCTCATTTTTCTTGTTCTGCAGCATTTTGGAAAATTTTTCACTACAGCTGCTTTTCATAAATCAATAAGAATGCCGTTTGACTAGGAATGGTGAGCAGCTAAAAAAGCTTTGTTAAATTTAACCTTAACCATTACAATTCTCTTCTTGAGGGGGTTGGTTTCAGCCCCAAAGACCCCTTTGGTAGGCCCGTTCTATAATACGACTCTGGAGTCATATCATGAATGAGTTGAATTTTCATACACACAACGTTTTTTCAGCATGTTTACCAATGGCAGGTAAACATAAACACTGGAGGAACATCGATGAATTTATTTGTGTATTCACTTTGGTTTGTGCGTGTGTACGTGCTGTCTGACATGCTTGCGTCTTTGTTTTGTTATGCTGATGTGAATTATTTATATTTTAACAAATTTGGAAGTTTTTAGATTAATTTTTTTTATTATTTTTTTAAAATTTGAAGCGTTATCAAATTAAACAAGATTAAAACTTGAAAGACAAATTTTCAGAAGAATGCAGCAGTTGTCGTAAGCTTTGAAAATTAAAAAAAAATTATTTCTTGAAAATTGCTGGAGCCTTTACTAGATTATAAATTCAATAGGTATATATTTGCCATTTTACAGAATCACTCTTCACAAATGAATTCAAATGAATAATCCAAGAATTTTCAAACAAATTTCGCCCAAAATGATATTTAAACCAAATCAACACCTCACGTAATGAAACCACGTAAATACATTTGTCTGCTATGATGAGGTATGCTATCAATTTTGTCCTAATATTGATGAAATTAATTATTCAATTCGATCAATCATTTGACAAAATTGACAAAATATGTTTTTTTTTCGATAAAATTCACACACACACAAAAACAACATACACGAAAGTAAATGTTGTTCATGTGTTATTATACATCAGAATATATTTCACATATTGCAAATGTAGGCGAACATATTATGAACCAAACAAACGAACAACAACAACAACTATTTAACAGCATCCATGGGAGTTACCTAATTAAATCACTCAACAGTTACAAGCTTGCTCAGAAAAATTATTTTCTCTCAATAAATTTCTCTCAACTGTCGTGTCGGAAATATAAAATATTTCAGTAACGCTCAGTGATTTTTACAACTTCTAAAAAGAATGTCTGATAATTTTTGATTCAACTTTTTATTCTAATAATTATCATTGCCTAGGATTATGACAAATGGTAAAAATATCACATAGTTTATATTCACCTAATCAATTTTGTTATATGATTCATTGCTCCTAATTTGCACTGTGATTCATCCATATTTTTTCATATATTTTCTGTTTTTGTTAAAAGCAAATGTGTTAAAAAAATTTAAAACTATATTTTTGATTTGTTGTCGTGATCTAACTTGATTGTTATCCAACAATGACTAACCGATCAGAATTTTCTACACAACAACAGCTTCAGCAACTGCAATCCCTCATCACAAAACTAATCCGTTGTTTGAGGTGTCTTGTGATAAAAGTCTTTTCTTGATATGTAGAATGTATGACGACTTGATAGTTATGTTTGCGCTGACAAAGGTTGTGTGTTGTAGTTTTAATTGGTGGTAGTAGATGGCGAATGACGTTGTTGTTGTTGTTTCCCACTTTCTTGAACAGTCTTGAATCGAATGTGTCGAATATCTGAGTGACGGTAGAATATGAGACAGGTTTTAAATAAAAAATGTTCATTGCATACTGCACAAGTCGTATCACAAAGTAAGTAAAATATCATAAAAGAAATCCTTTTTGGTTGAAAGAGGTTTGTTTAAGCCTAGTGACTAGTGACTACAACTGGTTTTCTATGGAAGAAAAAAAATTCATCACAAATTATTTAGAATAATTGATGTCATAAAGAAAAGGACAGTTTAAAAATTGTCACAAAAATTTCAAACTTAAAGAGATTTTGAAATGTAATTAAAAAATTATTCAGTTGGAGACCTATGGTTTAGTAGTTGGTACGCCGATTTCCTTCGTGTTACATTGGTATCTCTTTACACGTTTCGTTTCCAGACCGTATAGTCTGTCTATCTATCTATCTCTACCGACTTGTCATAAACGAAATACATACTTGCCGACAGAAATCTCAAAATTTTACTCTGAAAATGCGTTTGAAAATCTGTTATCAAAATTTCTACCAAAGCTTCCGACAAAATTTAAAAAAAGCCAACAACATACAAACAGCATTTATGAACAAGGGCTAAACTGAGGTGGGAATGTCTTTTAGTTTTCCAACTCCAAGCACTTAGAAATAGGTTCAAACGTCGGTAGGCACTTAACCGCCAAGCTTCTCGCTTGGAAGATGTGGAAAATATTCATTTATATGAATAATGACGGCAGATTTGTGGGCTTGAGTTTAAATTAAAATATTGATGGTCAATTAAAACCTACAGAGAAGATGATTAAATACGATGTTTCATTTTTGTGTGGTGGGTGCAATTCAAAACGAATCTGGCATAGTCCAAGAGCAGTCGTTGACTACAGTTTAGTTAAGTGATAAGAAAATTTGATAAACGAACAGATGCAACATTTAAAGATAACTGATTGTATTAATGGATCTTGCTGTCATATTTGAACCCGGTTACTGCGAAACAGCAACAGGCGACCTTAACCACAAGGCCATTACGCTATATCACATCATCACTACCAACACAACCATCATTGTCTTTGTCATCATCGTCATCTTCATCATAGTGATCACCGTCATCTTCATCATCGCCATTCTTCTCATCATCGGCATCAACGCCATCGTAATCACCATTATCATCACCCACATCATCATCTTCTTCTTCATCACCATCATTATCATCAACATCGTATCATCATTATCATCATCATTAACACTCATCATCATCACCATCTTCTATTGAGATAGAACATGAAGGAATGAGATGAACTTTCACATTCAAAGTCTCTTGAAAGATGAAAAAAAAAATAATAATGTTGAATGAATGTCTACACGGAATAACAACTTGCTTGCTTGTATAATTTGTATGCTTCTATCCTCAAATATTTTTGACGTTTATAGTCTGTTGTCATTTTATTCATGTCGGAAATTTCCAACTTGCAAAGGTCAAGGTCAAACAGGGCATCAGAAGAGACCAAGTCCGCCCTTTAACTTAACAATTGTCCATACTAACTCTATTTGAAACTGTACATGGAACCAATTGCGAGGTTAATTTTAATAAAAAAAAAATTTGAAAATTTTGAAAAAAGAGTGTGACTAGCTGAAGAAGGGCATAGGTCATCAACCTTCTACCTCCAGGAGGTCATCATCACGTTGCATTTTCTGTTGTCAAAAGTTTGTCCGTGTGTATTATTGCATATTTAATTTGTATGTGAGTTTATGGTTTTGTGTATTTCAAGCTCGTGTATATGTTAATCAGGTTTGTATGTTAGGTTTGTATGATTTTGTATCTGGCTTATATGTTTGTATGTTAGAGCTTGTATAATTGTGTATCGTGCATTGTAAGTTTGTAAACCACATTCTAGAAGTTTGTATATCTGATTTGTATGTTTGTATAATAGGTTTGTATGTTTTTATATTAAGTTTGTATGTTAGTATAATAGATTTGTATGCTTGTATATCGGGCTTGCATGTTTGTCTATCAAGTATTTTCATTTAGTCATTTGTTTACATGTGAAGGTAATTTGTTTGTTTATGTTTGTACAAGCGTTCGTTTGTATCTTTGACCAAATGTTCATTTGTTCACGTGTTTGTCAGTTTGTCCTATTGTAATCGATTTGTTTATACTTCAGGTTAATAATTCATTCAAGTTACCATGCAAATTTAATACTTTTTATTTTATTTAGAGATAGGATCAGTTACATTCAAGAGTGATTTTAGGTTTCATTTGAGTTTCAACTTTTACACATTTTGATAATTTTTAAATTTATAAATTAACCGTTTTTTCTTATCAACTATATTTTTTCATTTATTTAATTCCTACATTCATCCATCTATCCATCCATACATCCATTCACCCACCCAGCCATCCATTCATCCATCCACCCATCCATCCATCTATCCATCCCTCCATTTATTAATCCAATCATTTTTTCTTTCATTCTATATTCATTCAATATTCAAAATTATTGAAAACTAAGTTTTATTTTATTTACATAATGAAAACAAATACAGTAGCCTACACATACAAAACAATCAATCAAACATAAAAAGACATTTTTTGTGTTACTAATAAAAAAAATTATTAAAAAATGCTCACGGGTGATAAATCAACAACAGAAATGTAACCGAAACTGGTAGTAAAATCACCTTTTTGTTCCGCAAAATCGAACTTAACAATGTTAATCGATAAAAGAAATGAACTCGTTCAACAAAATGGATGAAAATTCAAGTTAAATCAATTAAGTATGATAAGCTGTAAGCAAATTATGAGGAAGTGAATGAACCTAGATAGATTAATCAACTTAATATAAATAAAATATACATGAAACACATGAAAAAGAATGAATTTGAGTAAGTTACTAAACAGAATAAAGTTAATTAGTGAAAAAAGAATAAATTTAAATTAATTAATTTAATAAATAAAAAAAAATTGACAAAACTTATAGACAAGCGGACAAAACTTGACAAACAAACAAACAAACCTCCAAACAAACGCATACATATTACATAAGACAAGCGAACTGATCAATGAACATCTCACGGAACATGGAGTCCGTACGACATCCAGTAAACCAAATTGAACAACACAAACGTCAGGGGAAATATAATCCGAGATAATTTATCTAATTTTTGAGCGCGCGGTTGTTCCTTCTGGGATGAGGGGGATTTCGAAGAGGTCAAAAGGTTACGTAACCTCTTTCTTGACCAACTTTGCTTGCGTTGGAGCCAGCTTTGCTTGCTCTTTGGCACTGATGAATCGTCCTGTTTGGAGGTTTGTATGTAATTTTGTATGCAAAAAGATCCATTTGAGTTGTTTTTTTTTATTTCATTTTAGTGATGTAGAATTCTATGTGTTTGAAATATTGTTGCCAAATAAGTTGAATGACATCATTTAAATACCAGATTTCCAAATAAATTTTTATTAATTATTAATTAAATATAAAAAAAGTTAAAAATTGATTGAATGATTTCATTATAAATGCATTTTTAACGTGTTTCTAACCAGTTGATGTTTAACCAGTTTATTTTTAATAAAAATTAATATTAATTTCGTATTCAAAATAATTCGAAGCTAATCGTACGACAGCGGCCGCTTGCTGAAATTGCAAAATGTTCCTCGCCAAACCGCACGCCACTGGCGAGCCATTAGAAAAATTTTAGGAAGAATCTCAAAACAGTTTCATGGTAAAATTTTATAAAAAAAAATTGTAAATCACAACCTTGCATTGTTGAAAATATTTCGCTCCAACTCATAATTTTTCAAAATAATATATTTAATTATGTATCGAATCAGAAGCCGCAGGTTGAAACAATTCAGTTTCTTATTCATCGTTTAATTGAACTTTGTATAGCGACTGATGTTACGAAAGGAAGTTAAAAATTCATCGAGGCGAAAAATGCCGACAGAACTGCATTGAAATTAAAAACGAAAGATCATAGTTAAAATTACTCATCTACTTTTCAAAGCTAGTAAAAATTTAGCAATTCGGATTTGAAATTTAAAAAAAAATTGTCTGACCTGCACTCTTTAACCCTACATAAACCAAAAACAACAGTTGGGGACAAGTCATCAGTGGCTAACTCATCCACTCTTTAACGATTAATATTGCTATCTCAGGAATGATTTGAATATTCTTTTCATTAAATGTTGCAATTAACTTGTGAAATATTTATTAGATTCCAATTGAAAGAGATTGCCTCCTTCCTATCCATGTGCGATCCACGAGCATCCACCACATAGGCATAATACTACCAATTAGTTAGAAAATGACTAGTTTTCCAGATTTGTTACTACCAACAACTCTTATAAAATTATGTAAATATGGATTAAAATCATTTTTAGTTTTTTTTTCAGAAAATATTTTGAAAAGAAAGCTAAAACATGAAATTTTTGTACGAAATTAATGAAATTTAATGTATGGCTTCTTGACTTCATTTTTGAAATATTAACTCTACTTCCTCAGATAACTCAGATATCTGTGATTATTTTGAAAGATATTTCAAATAGGTTTTCTACATGAATAAGTAAATAATTAAAGTTTTCTAGTTCTTATTAAATTTTTCCATTAGCATCTTCTCTTTTATATCAAAAATAATTATAACTAAACAGACCATGGAAGAAGTTGGTCGGATGGGTAATTTGGAACGGAATTCCAAATTTAAGGGCTTTCTAAAACGAGGCTTTTAAAACAATAAGAATAAAATAAGAATAAAATGTACTTATAAACCTCGTCATCTGACCAGAGCTTCTAAACGAAGTTTGCGTGTAAGTTTTTTTTTCAACGAAAATAATTTTTTAATTTTTTTAAATTACTCCGTCCATCAAAAACGCAAATTTGTTGACATTTTCAAGTCCAGTGGTTGTAAAATTCGATTAACAAATTAAAATTTAATAAAAATTCCGCGTTAAGAGAATGTTTCAAAAATAATTAACTTCACTATTTTATTTTTTAACTTAATTAAAAAACAAATTTACAAAGTTTAAAAAACACTCCGATCTATCAGAATCCTGGTTCGCATATTCAAATCGTTTTAAAATTCGGTAGCATTTGTTTAACTGCTAATTCACGGAGGCTTTTCAGCCATAATCAAATAACTAACGAAAGTGAACTTGTGAATTGGCCGACTGATGAAATCAGTTTCATTCAAACAAGATTTGATGTTGGTGTAGTTCTCCTATTTTTTGACATTTTTTATATTTGCTGCTTTAAAAACCATGTTGAAAAGCGTATAAATCTATATAGATAGAATCCTCAAACTATGCTAAATAGAAGAAAATGTTGAAAAATTTTAATTTCAGTATTAGATTTTATTTCCCACACAAGTTTTTGAGTGTTGAAAAGGTAGTAATTAAAAAATTGGAAAGATTCGAAAGACATTCTTTACTAACTATTGTCAATGGAATTAAAACGTTGTGTTGCGGCTGTTGAAACCGATGCCTGTTTCTTTGATGGTGTTGGTAAAAATATCTCTGTGGCCGTGTAGGCTGTGATTGTTGATGTGGTAGTAGTTGAGGGTCTTGTATCTGTGGTTGTTGCTGGTGTAGAATCTGTTGTTGTTGAGATGTTGAAGGCTGTGGTTGAGATGTTGAAATTGGTAGTCGCGAAGTTTGCCTTTCTAAATAAGAATGTTGATGCCGTTGAAGAAGTGAGCTGTCTTGGGAGTCAACTTGCTGTTGTTGAAGTTGTTGCTGCTGTTGTTGCATTTGTTGCTGCTGCTGCTGAATTTGTTGTTGTTGCATTTGTTGTTGCTGCTGTTGATTTTGTTGTTGTTGTTGTTGTTGATTTTGTTGTTGCTGCTGCTGTTGCTGCTGCTGCTGTTGCAGCTGTCGTTTCCTTCTGCGCTCGTCGGCTCGCGACCAAACGTTTACGACTGCAAACTCGATAAGTGAGGCAAAGGCGAAGACAAGACAGGCCGTCATCCAGACATCAATGGCTTTTATATAGGACACCTACAAATAAACTCTTTGTTCTTGGCTTTTTTATCAAAAAAAAAATAATTATTTATGTAACGTTCGATGACGAAAGCAGAGTTGTATGTATGTGAGAATTTGATGTTGAAACAACGTAGGCTTATTTTTTTCCAAAGTTGATAATGATGTTGTATTTGAACGAGTGCCACTCTGCGGGCCTAATGTTTCGAATTGTTTTAAATTGAAGAAAATTTCTGAAATATTTGAAGTTTTGAAAATGCTGATACCATCTTAATAGCAATTCTTCCATTTTGTCCAAACAGACTTTCAATAAGTCAACAGCATTTTAATAAAATGAAATCGAAAAAAAAAACTGCCATAAATAAGAACAACAAAAAACGCATCGACAAGACAGCATCTAAAAAAATGTGCAACACCCCAGCTACTGAACCTTGGGTAGTTGGTCTCTGGACCCGGTACTCTGAGTGACAAGGTTGAGGACAGTCATCAGCCCGATGTTGACCCTGGCAACCACGGCATCCACACTGATCCAAAAACTGACCCAAGACATCATGACTAGTAGGATGCTAGGGATGTAGAATTGAATGTAGTAGTAGCCCAGAGGCCTAGTCACCATGAACCTCGCTTGCAAACATGGGATGGTTTTCTCAGTGAAACCTGGCCATGTTTTGTTTAAACAAGTTAGTTTAAGTTGTTTAAATTATCTATTTTTTATGATTTAAATTATTTTTACAAAATTTTGTTATAATAGGGCAAAATGTTGCTATGGTTTAGGTGGTTGTTTCGGCTATTGTTTTGAATTGGGCAAGTGTTATAAACACAGTAAAATTGAATAAAAAATTTAATCATGAAAATGTGAAGCATTGTTTCTCTTCTCTAGTAGCGGTAGTTATAAAAAAGGGAAAAATGAAAAGTTAAAACGGGAAGAAATAGAAAAAAAAATTAAAAGTTAATACCAGGTAAAAATAGAAAAACATTTCCTAAATGTTCAATGACTTTATGCAGGTATCAGATGACATAACATATGCGCTCGGGACGCCAAATAAGACAAACAATAAAAAAAATCAGACGAAATCAGAATATGTTGCTTGCACATGTTTGTCTGTGTACGTGTGTGTATGCAATTGTATGTGTGCGTATGTGTGTTTGTTTTTCTATGTGAGTGTTTGTGTTTGTGTGTTTGTGTGTGTGTGTGTGACGTGTGTGTGTGTGTATCGACAATATCATTAAAATAATAACAAAAAGAAATTAATTTTATTCGAAACGCCCCAAACCTAGGGCTTGTTTGTATAAAAATAATTTTGCTATTATTGATAAAATTGAATACGAGCATAGTCTAAGAGTCTGAGATTTTGCCGAGTTGGAATTTTTTAAGGGGCCGAAAAAGGGTAATTTCTACCTGACTTCGAAAGGTGTCATGATTCTGAAATTTGTTTTTTTTTTTTTTTTTATTCTGAAAACACCTTTTAAGAGGGCGTTTTTTAGAAGACAAATGGGTGTATATTGATAGATTCAATCATCTTTATTACTGAAAATATATGTTATGTTAATGATGTCAGTCAACAAAATAGCATAATTTTTTTCAGTATTTTTTAAAGTAAATATAAGTTAGAAGAAAAATTAAGCCAACTGGTTTTTAGTGGCGTTTAGAGTAGTTTTTATTTAGTGCTGATATTTTAGTAAAGTTGTAATGGAAAAGTTGACAAATTTTTCTGGAAGTCTGAACCAGATAGTTTTAAGCTCATATGAAGCTTTCCAATGAAAATGAGTATCTGAAATATATGAAAACACAAACTTTTTGTTATGCTTGTATATTTATTGTTCAATTTTTGTAGACACACTCACTCTCTTTCTCTCTCTCTTTTTCTCTCTTTTTTCTTTATCTATTTGTCTGTCTGTCTGTCTGTCTATCTGTCTGTTTGTCTGTTTATCTATTTATCTATTTATCTATTTATTTTTCTCTCTATCTTTCTTTCTGTCTGTCTGTTTATCTGCCACTCACATGAGTGTGTGTGTGAGAGAGTTTAGTGTGTTTGTGTATCTGTGTGCGTGAGAAAGAGAGAGAGAGAGAGAGAGAGAGAGAGAAAATGTGTGTGTGGTGTGTGTGTGTTTGTGTGTAAATAAATCATCGGAGTATTAATAAAAATTTATTATCTTATGATTATGAAAATAGCTGCCGGCCGTACACAGCCAGCTATTCCTAGGAAAACCTCAATCCAGTATGTCTGAGAAAAAACAAAAGTATTAAAAATCATTGTCTCTCTCTTTCTCTCTCTCCCTTTCATTCCATCTTTTTCTCTCTCTCTCTCTCTCTCTCTCTCACTCACACAAAAGATAATTATTATGAAAATAGCTACAACAACAACACAACAGAAAATAAAAATAACACTATCATCGTCTTATTTTTCGTTATCATTATCCATCTTCATCCTCATCATCTTCACCATCTTCATCATCATCTTCATCATTTTTATCATCATCTTCACCATCTACATCATCATCTTCATCATCTCTATCATCATCTTCATCATCTTCATCATCACCATTTTTATCAGCATCTTCATCATCATCTTCACCATCTTTATCATCATCCTCACCATCTTCATCATCTTCATCCTCATCACTATCTTCATCATCATTCTCATCATCTTCACCATCATCATCTTTATCATCATCTACCTAGGTAGAATTAATCATCAGCGTGAGAATGGGTAGAAGATAGATAAAGTTTTTCAAAATCTTATCAGTGGCACTTGAAACAATGCAAAATAAATTGCGACCTCATGTCTCTATAGCAAAACTAAAATTATACAAAACAATACAAACAAATACAAAATAATACAAATAAATACAAAATATACAAAACAATACCAACCGATACAAAACAATACAAAACAAACACAAAATATACGAAACAATACAAACAGACACAAACAAATACAAAACAATACAAACAAATGCAAAACAATACAAACAGATACAAAACAGATACAAACAATACAAAACAATACAAATCAAACATTTCACAAATATAAAAAAGTATCACGTGAATTACACGAAATAAGGTAGTCTCAGAAAGATAGCTGGCTACCCAGCCATAGATCAAATAAAAAATACTACCAACTGCCATGTACCTAAAGTAACTTTGATTTCGGCTTTCTTAAACATTTTTCTTGCATTTTCACTGACCATACTTATACACAAAACACAATCGTGATATTTGTTCCAAACGCGTAATTTTAGTTTTTTTTTAATAAAAGGTCTTCGGCTTTTAAAAAATCATTTTAATTTATTATTTCAGCAGTAATTAAACTTTTTAAAAATTTTTACAGAAAGTATTGTTGTGTGTGAGTTCGTGCGTGAGTGCGTGCGTGTGTGTGCGTGTATGCGAGTGTGTGTGTGTGCGTATGTATGTGTGTGTATGTGTGTGCGTGTGTACGTGTAGAACTGATTAATGAAGAAATATAAGTGTTGCAAAACAGACGCTTCGTCTTATCATTCCACTTCCATTTTCAACTACACACACCACAGCACGGCAAACAGTTTTAATTATGGTCGGGTTTATACAATGGAAAGAAGATTCTACTCAGAATATAAGAATCAATTTTTTTTAAATATATACAAAATAGTTGAATTTTTAATTGTTATTTTTCCATATAATCATTTATTCATTCATTCGTTTATTTATTCATTCATTCGTTTATTTATTCATTCGTTCGTTCATTCGTTCGTTCGTTCGTTCGTTCGTTTGTTCATTCATTCATTCATTCATTCATTCATTCATTCATTCATTCATTCATTCATTCATTCATTCATTCATTCATTCATTCATTCATTCATTCATTCATTCAAACGAACCGGAAGTGTCGTTGTACGTGCAGTCCTCCATCTCGACCTCAGTACTGACAACACTTTCCGGCTGCACCCTTCCTGATGATGATGATGGTGATGATGATGGTGATGATGATGATGATGGTGGTGGTGGTGATGATGATGGTGATGATGATGGTGATGGTGGTGATGGTGATAATGATGGTAATGATGACGATGATGATGACGATGATGATGACAAAAATGATGCTGATGATGATACCTGTAGCATCAAACTCAAACGCTTTGTCTTTGGCCTGTATCCATTTCAAATGAACTTGCTCCGTGTTATAGCCGACTTTTCGTAAGAAAAAAATTTTGTATGACGTTATCATCATCATCACCATCCTCATCATCATCATCATTATTATCATCATCATCACCATCGCCATCATCATCATGACCCACAGCTCTCCATCTGAATAGGGCAGTACTGGACGTCGAACGGGTACATCTGCAGTTTCATCGGACAGGAAAAGGTTCCTGTGATCCTATTGGTTGGTCGGTGAGGTTAGTATTAAATAAATTGTAATTATAATAATTTTTATTTATTTAATTTGTTATTTTATTTTATTTAATTTTAGTTACTTAATTATCATTCAAAATAAAATTTAACTTTGAACAGAATATATCTATCTATCTATCTATCTATCTATCTATCTATCTATCTATCTATCTATCTATCTATCTATCTATCTATCTATCTATCTATCTATCTATCTATCTATCTATCTATCTATCTATCTATCTATCTATCTATCTATCTATCTATCTATCTATCTATCTATCTATCTATCTATCTATCTATCTATCTATCTATCTATCTATCTATCTATCTATCTATCTATCTATCTATCTATCTATCTATCTATCTATCTTTTTCTTTCTTTTAATCCCCTTACTCGCAATCTATTTTTTGCAAAAACATTTTCTAAAGAGGGGAAACTGGGAATGGACCGCAGTCTCCCCACTCGTCATTAACACTATCAGTCGCTCATCATTTAATGTCATTTTAATGTCATTTATATATATATAGAGAGAGAGAGAGAAAGAGAGAGAAAGGAAGAGAGACTACTCAATTTTTCTTTGAAACAAAACATCCTTCTCTGCACATAAAACATTTTGCATAAAAAATTGTATATGTAATTTTTGTTTGAGCGTGTGTAAGTGTGTCTTTCTATGCTAATGTATGTCTATATGTCTGTGTTGATGTGTGAATATGTATGTGTGTGTGTGTATGTGTGTGTGTTTGTCTGTCTGTGATTATAAGTGTGTGCATATTTACTGTGTGTTTGTGTGTTGATATATGTACGCATGTATGTTAAAATATGGGAAATATAAGTAGATGTATTTATCTTGAAACTAATCAACAATTTTTTTGGCATTTCCAATCAATTAATTAGTTTTTAAATTTCCGCGATGTTCAACAGCGCTCTTCAATGAATTTTGCAAACAGATGGGTCTTGAGATCCGCTCTGAACATCGTAAGTGATGGAGAAGTAGTCAGAGAAGGAGGTAGAGAGTTCCAGAGAAAAGGACCAGCAAAAGCAAAAGCAGATTTAGCAAAAGAGTGTTTAACACGAATTAAGAAGAAGCGAGAACAAGAAGACAATCGTAAACCGGGGCGTTTAGGTTCAATTAATATATCTGATAAATACTTAGGAAATAATTTAGATTGAGACTTATACATGAACGTGCAAATTTTAAAAATTATTCTATATTTTATAGGTAGCCAGTGCAAGAGAACAAAAT